CACCTGTGCTGGTTTTTTGGTTTTTTTTTTTTTTTTTTTTTTTTGTTAAGATTTATTTTATTTTATTATTACTTTTTAGTATGACCAGAGAGAGACAGAGTAAGAAAGTGAGAAAGCAAGTCGCCAGTTCTGGAATTCAAACCGCGATTAGCCATGTGGGAGTAGAACCTTAACCACACACCACCTGCTGGCCTCCAGCTTGAGTTTTACACCTCCAGGTCCAAGACTTGAACTGTGGTTGACTATGTGGGAGTCTAATGATGCAACCATTACACTCTTGCTGGTCCCTTTTTAGAGAGATTTTTGCTATAGGGCATGTATGCTTGTCGGAGAGACAGAGGCAGAGAGAGACAGAAAGTGAGAAATCGCCCCCAGGGGACTGGCAACACTGCAGTCCCTTTTCCATTCTCCTCTTAGGATTTTGGACATGCATGCAAACATGCCCAGTTTGAGTTCATTTTAAGTTGCAGAATGCTGGACTCAAACCTCAGTTGACTATGCGGGAGTCCAACAGCATAAATATTACCTCATCAGCTGATCTCTACAAAAAGGTCTTTTAAAATAGTATGTGTATGGGCAGGCAGGTAGTGTAGCGGTTGGAGCACTGGACTCCCACGTGGCCGACCACAGCTTGAGTCCTGGACCTGGCGGTTTGCTTTCTCACTTTCTCTATATCTCCTTTGATCAAAGTGAAAACTAATAATAAATAAACTAAATTTAAAAATATATTATGTGCAGGGCCAGCAGGTGGTGTGATGGTTAAGGGCATTGGACTTCCACATGGCCGAACGTGGTTCAAGTCTCAGACCTGGTGACTTGCTTTCTCACTCTCTCTCTCTCTCTCTCTCCTGGACAAATATAAAAATAATAATAATAAATGTAATTAAATAAATAAGTGTGTGTGTATATAATGTGCAATTATGAAAAATGAGAAAGGGGCTGGCAGGTGGCATAGTGGTTAAGGCGCCGGACTTCCATATGGCCAATTGAGGTTCAAGTCCTGGATTTGGCGGCTTGAAAATCACGCTAGTGGGACCAGCAGTTAGCGTAATGGCTATGTCGCTGGACTCCCATGTAGTCGACTGTGATTCGCATCCTGGACCCAGTGGCTTAAAACTCATGCCAGGCACGTGTGCGTGCATGCCCAAGATCCTGAGAGGAGAATGGAGGAGAAGGGATTGCGGCGTGACCATCCCCCCGGGGGGTGATTTCTTACTTTCTGTCTCTTTGTCTCTGTCTGGCAAGTGTACGTGCCCTATAGCAAAAACCTCTCCCACCCAAAAAAATAAAAAGAAAAGAAAAGAAAATCACGCTGGCATTTGTGCATACGTGCCCGAAATTCTGAGAGGAGAATGGAGGGGAAAGGATTGAAGGATGGCTGTCCCCTCTAGGGTGATTTTTCACTTTCCTTCTCTCTGTCACTGTGGCTAGCACACATACCTATGGCAAAAATTAAAAAAAAAAAAAAAAAATCTAGTTAATGAGGAAATAATAAAATCATGATGTGTTTACACAGTTATTATACAGACGTTTAAAATATTTCAAAATGTTTATATTAGAGAAATATTAAAAATTCTTGGGGCCAGCAGGTAGCCTGGTGGTTAAGATGCTGGACTCCCACATGGCCGATCATAGTTTGAGTCCTGGACCTGGAGGCTTGCTTTCCTACTTTCCCTTTCTTTCTCTGTCTCTCCCTGATCAAATTAACAAATAATCATCATAATAATAAGTGAAATAAAACAATTAAAAAAAAAACTCTTTAAGGGGCCGGCAAGTGGCATGGTGGTTAAAGGTGCTGGACTCCCACATGGCCGACCATGGTTTAAGTCTCGGACCTGGTGGCTTGCTTGCTCGCTTCCTCTCTCTCTCTCTGTCTCTCTTGGATCAAACTGGAAAATAATAATGATAATAATAATAAATAAAGTTAAATAAAAATAATTCTTAAAAAAAAAAAACAAAAAAAAAAACAACTCTTTAAAAAGGGGCCAGCAAGGGACCAGCAGTGGCACTTGACTCCCACTTACTTGATGGCAGTTCAAGTCCTGGAGCTGGTGGCCTAAAACTCATGCCAGGTACGTTTTGCCCTAAGGCAAAAACCTCTTAAAAAAAAAAAAGTATACAAAATTACTTGTGGAGTACGTTATTTATCCAAAAAGCATAGAAAAGTTACTGGAAGAAAATCTATTGTTGTTAACAAAGTTTGTAACTGGTTGGCAGAACTGTGACTTATGTTTTTCCTTCTATTTGTTTTTCCAAATTTTTAGAAATATGTTTAATTGCTGTCATTATTTATTTTTAATTTCTGCTGTAGGGCACGTGAGCTCACGGAGATAGAGAGGAAGTAAGAAAGCACATACCCCACAGGGGGGCCGGCCACGCTGCAGTCCCTTCTCCTCCATTCTCTACTCAGGATTTTGTGTGGGCCTGTGTGTGCTCAGTGTTTTTCAAGCTGCCAGGTTTAGGATTTGCACTGCGCATTCTGCCATGTGGGATCCAGGCACCTTACCCTCCATTCTATCTACTGGCCTTTTCATTGCTTTTGTAACTAAATATACTTTTATTTTAAAAAGCAGCTGTTCCATAATATGGCTTAATGTTAAAATACCCCTTCTGTACATTCTTGCAGAGGAGACATGGGAGGTGGTTAAGGAGTCATTGGTTTGAAATGACTAACTTGTTACTTGCTGCAGAGTTCTTTTCCTCTTTTTTTGGACAGGTTTTTTATATAGGGCATGTGCGCTCACCAGAAAGACAGAGAGATAGAAAGAAAGCAAGAGATCAACCCACCCCACCCCAAAGAAACCCCGCCCAAGGGGGATGGCCATGCCACAATCCCTTCTCCTCCATTCTCCTCTCGGGATCTTAGGCACGCACGTACACACACCTGGCATGAGTTTAAGCCACTGGGTCCGGGACTCAAACCATGGTTGACTACATGGGAGTCCAGGGACATAGCCATTACGCCAACTGCTGGTCCCTGCAGAGTTCTAAGCAGTGAGTTCTTGTCCTGAGTCCTAATTGGATAGCCCTGGCATGACTGTAAATCCTTTCTTCTTCAAAAGAGATATAGGCATGGTGGTTTAGGGTGCTGGACTCCCACATGGCCGACCGCAGTTCAAGTCCCAGACCTGGAAGCTTGCTTTCACGCTTTCCCTTTCACTCTCTCACTCTCTCACTCTGTCCCTTTCTGGTCAAATGAAAAATAAATAAATAAAGTTAAATAAAATAATTAAAAAAAAAAAGATATAAATAAAGGGGCCAGCATGGGGTGGTGGTTAAAAGTGCTGGATTCCCACATAGTCGACTGCGGTTCGAGTCCTGGACCTGGCAGCTTGCTTTCTCCCTTTCCCTTTATCTCTCTATCTCTGTCTCTCTCTGGTTAAATTTTAAATAATAATAATATTAGCAAATGGGATTAAATAAATAAATCTTTAAAAAAAAATAAATCATATAAGTATATCAGTAATATATAATCATGTAAGTAAATCAATAGGTCGTTCTGACCCTGGTATAAGTCTTGTTACGTAAGTCTAGTTAAATCATTTATAAGTGGCAGTCTATAACTGCTACCTCACAAAGTTGGTGTGGGTCTTGGAGATATTTTATGGGCCCTGACATACCATGCCCGTGGACAGAGACCTCAGTGCATGGACTTGCGGGTGACTGTAACTAACACTGTTGTCAATATAGTGAATGTATAGGAAATAACCACTGTTTGACATGATGTTCTTCTGTTCATGACATTTCTCGATCAGAGAGGACCAGGTAAACTTCCGTGGCTTCATGAGGACTTTGGCTCACTTCCGGCCCATCGAGGATAACGAAAAGAGCAAAGACGTGAATGGCCCAGAACCCCTCAACAGCCGAAGCAACAAGTTGCACTGTAAGGAGCTAAAGTCTTCTGACTTACAGTATTTGCCTTCTGTTTCTCTAAGTCATTGTTTACTCATTTCTTCAGTGAACTAGTGTTTAAAAGAACACAGTTGTTGGGAACCAGCAGTTAGCGTAATGGCTATGCCGCTGGACTCCTACATTATTGACTGCAGTTCGCGTCCCGAACCCGGTGGCTTAAAACTCATGCCAGGCGCGTGTGCGTGCGTGCCCAAGGTCCCAAGAGGAGAATGGAGGAGGAGGAGAAGGGATTACGGTGTGACCATCCCCCCTGGGGGGTGATTTCTCGCTTTCTGTCTCTCTGTCTCTCTCTTGTCTGTCTGGCAAGCGCACGCGCCCAGCAAAAAAAAAAAAAAAAAAAAGAACATAGCAGTTAAGAGGAAAGACTCTGGAACTGAACTAGTTGAGTCTGAATCCCAGCTCTACCCCTTTTTTGGCCACGTGGCTTTAGGTAAGTTACTTAAAATCTTTGGACCTTGGGCTAGGAGGTGGCATAGTGATTAAGGTGCTAGATTCCTACATGGCAGGTTGCAGTTCAAGTCCTGGCTCCCATGACTTGAAAATCACAGTGGGCATGTGTGCCCAAGATCCCGAGAGGAGAATGGAAAAGGGATTGCGGCATGGCCATGCCCCTCCCGGGGAGTGTGATTTCTCACTTTTTCCCTCTCTCTCCAGCGAGCACATATACCCCATGGCCAAAACCTAAAAACGAAAAACTTTGGGCCTCAGTTTCCTCTTCTCTGTGAAGTGGGATGTTAAGGGATCCCACAGGTTGTTGTGAGGACTTAATGAATTATATGTCAAGTGCTTCAAACAGTGCTGGCATGTATAGATACTCAGTAAGTGTGATCTGCAGCTATTATTGTTGTAATTCATTGAATGCCCGGGCCAGCAGGTGGCTTGGTGTTTAAGGCCTAGGACTCCCACATGGCTAACCGCAGTTTGAGTCCCAGACCTGGTGACTTGCTTTCTCACTTTCCATCTCCTTTTGTCTCTCTCTGGTGAGTACACATGCCCTATAGCAAAATTTAAATATAATAGTAAGTGGACCAGCAGGTGGTGTGGTGGTTAAGGTGCTGGATTCCCACATGACTGACCACAGTTCAAGTCCTGGCAGCTTAAAAATCACAGCAAATAAATAGATGAGTAAATAAGTAAATAAAATTTTAAAGGAAGTAAAATAATAATAAGTAAAATTAAATAACTATTTCTTAAAAATAACATCAATAATTCATTGAGTGCCTCCTGTGTGCCAGTCTCTGTGGTTAGTGCTGGAGTAAGAGTAGTGAACAAGACTCAGGCCACACTTGTCAGGAATAATGGCAGTCTTCAGTCCATTTTAGAATGCGATAGACAGGGGAAGCGGCAGATGACATAATGGTTACATTGCTGGACTCCCATGTAAGTCTACTGCAGTTTGAGTCCCGGACCCAGTGGCTTAAAACTCATGCCGAGCGCATATGTGTAAGTGCTCAAAAATCCCCAGAGAAGAATGGAGAGAATGGAAGAGAAAAGGATTGCAGCATGACCATCCCCCTGGGGAGTGAATTCTTGTCTGTGTCTCTGTCTCTCTGGTGAGCTCATGTGCTCAATAGCAAAAAATCTCTCTAGGAAAAAAAAAAAAAGAAAGTGATAGGCAGGACTAGCATATGGTGTAGCAGTTACATCACTGGACTCCCGCATGACCCACCATGATTTGAGTCCTGGACCCAGTAGCTTGAAACTCAGGCTGGGTGCATGTGCATGCATGCCCAAGATCCTGAGAGAAGAATGGAGGAGAAGGGATTACAGCATATCAATCCTCCTTGGGGGTGATTTCTCATTTTCCTTCTTACAATTTCTTTTCCTTTCCTTTCCTTTCCTTTCCTTTCCTTTCCTTTCCTTTCCTTTCCTTTCCTTTCTTTCTTTCCCCTCCCTCCCTCCCTCTCTCTCTATCTCTCTCTCTCTCTCTCATGAGTGCTTGTGCCTTAAGGCAAAAACCTCTACAAAACAAAACGAATGTGATAGACATCAGATGAGGCTTACATAAGGGTGGATAGCTGGAGCAGCGCAGGATTTAATTTTGTCCCCAGGCCTTTCGCCTGCTCTCCTTGGATAGCTGCGAGAGTTGCTTCTGCCCCTGTTGGTTCACGTATGATATTGCCCAGTCCCTTGCAACATGTCTCTAGGAAATTGAAATTCCATTTCCTTAGTATATTAAATTGATTGAGCCCAAGCCTCTCTCTCTTACAAGGGTGCAGTGGTGTACAGAGACGTTTGTGAAGCCACAGAAAAAATGGGCCTCGTCAGGTTTTTACTAATAACTTAAAAATAAAAGGTTTTTTTATTACTAAAAGAAATACAGATAAATTATACAATATAATGCCAAATTTAGAAACATTTGAAAATGGTGCCTGAGACGGACAGTTTAGTGTGCGGTTCTCAGGCTGTCTCCAGACCTCCGTGGGTATAGGAATGGAAACTCGCTCCTCTGTTGCTATGTCAGATGCAGTTTGAGAAGCACTGAAGTGTGTCTTGTTATGAGGACACGTCAAAATGTTTGTGGGGAAAGAGGATTAAAGTACAAGTTTATTTGGGGGCTAAAATCTTTTGAAATCCTTGTGTCGTTTTTTTTCATAATATGCATTTTTCATGAACTTTTTGAAGATTCCTTGTATATAGGACAGAGAAGGTGTTTGTTTGTTTGTTTGTTTGTTTTTATGGGGCCCTCTATGAAAGACCCACTTCATCTTCCTTAAAGGCATCAGCTCCTGGAAAGCACACTGCCCCAGGATCAAATCCCAGACCTGTCACTTTCAGGTACCTCCCTAAGCCTCTGTCTCCTTATCTGGAAAATGCAAATAAAAATGTTCTACCCTTGAAACTAAGACCCTAAAACTGCTCTGAGAACTCAGCAAGACAGAGCAGATAAAATCCTTCAGCAAACAGAAGTATTTCTTTGTCATTTATTTATTTTTGTAAGAGGTTGTAGCCTTAGGACGCATGTGCTCTGAGAAGGAAGTGAGAAATCACTCCAGAGGGTGGGGGGAATGGCCACGCAGCAATCCCTTCTCCATTCTCCTGCTAGGATCTTGAGAGGGCACGCATGCACTGCGATTTTCAAACCACTGGGTCCAGGACTCTTAACTGTGGCCTACCATTTAGGAGTCCAGAGATGTAACCACTATGCCATATGCTGTCCCCCCTTCCCCATATTCTAATGGCCAAATATTTAAGTGGTTGGAGCCTAAGAGAAAGACCCAAAGTTTCAAGAACTGCTGAGGTCACAAGCTGTCGGTCGCCAACGGTCCCTGACACATGCCCACTGTAAGAACCCCACTTCTTTCCAGGGCCTGGCACGATGAGCCTGGGCAGTCAGAACCTGTCCTGCAGGGAGGACCCAGCTCCTGGCTCCTCCTTGTGGAGGCTGAAAGCTGTGGATGTTTACAAGCCGGTTAAGAGAACAGTCAGGGGGTGCAGACAAGTCCCCCCAGACCCTAGCTGCTGGGAAACCCATCAGGTATCTCCTGCTAGCTCAAGAAGAGGGGGCTGATACAGGGGTTTCCTCCAGGGTCCCCATGAGAGATGGCGCCTGAAACCTGGACGCGAACCCAGGCTCCACGTGGAAATCAGGGGCACCTCACTGTCCCGAGTGGGAGACGCCAGTGCTGGCCCACTGCCCACGTCCTAGCAGGTGGCTGCCCGCATCCCCACCCAGGGGGAACTGAGGTCAGCCCCGGAGTTTAGGGAAAGGAAAGTAGGCACTCCGCTGCCCCAGGCTGCAGAAGCTCCCGCCCCCTCACCCGAGCGGAGCCGCTGGCCCATGGGGGGCTGCCATGCCAGGGCGGGGCGCCAGGTGCAGTGGGCGTGGCAGGGCAGCCTGGGTCCGAGCTCCCTCGCGGCCCCCTTTATTCATTTTTTAAAGAGATTTTTGCTATAGGGTGTATGTGCTTGCCGGAGAGACAAAGCAACAGAGACAGAAAGTAAGAAATCACCCCCCATGGGGGATGGCCAGGCCACAATCCCTTCTCCTCCATTCTCCTTTCAGGATTTTGAGCATGCATGCACATGCCTTGGGTGAGTTTTAAGCCCCTGGGTTCGGGACTTGAACCATAATCAACTACATGGGAGTCCAGCAACGTAACCATTACACTCTCTGCTGGGCCCTCCTTTTTTTTTTTTTTTAAGAGAGACTTTTGTTATAGGCCATGTGAGCTCACCAGAGAGACACAGTGGGAAATCATCCTGCAGAGGGGATAACCATGCTACAGTCCCTTCTCTCAGGATCTTGGGCATGCACACACATGCGTCCAGCATGAGTTTTAAGCTGCCGAGCCCCAGACTCGAATTGCCGTCAACTACGAGGGAGTCCCTTGACATAACCATTATGGCATTTGGCTCTTCCCAGCATGAACTTCAAGCCATTGGGTCTAGGACTTGATGCACGGTTAGCCATGTGAGACTCCAGCCATGTAACCATTATGCCATTTGCTGCCCCCCCCCAAGAGATTTTTGCCTTAAGGTGCATGTGCTCGCCTGAGAGAGAGAGACAGACAGAGACAGAGAATGTGAGAGAGAAAGTGAGAAATCATTCCCTCCCCCACCATGGGGGTTGGCTACGCAGCAATCCCTGCTCCTCCAAGGATCTTGGGCACAGTGCTCTTGGTATGAGTTGCAATCCACCGGGTCCAAGACTTGAACCGCAGTCAGCCATGTGGAAGTCTAGTGACATAACTGTTAAACCATCTGTTGGTCCTTACAGAAGTGTTTTTTTAATTTACTCATTTATTTCTTTGATGAAAGAGGGAGAGACAGACAGACAGGTACTGCTGTAGGGTCTTTATACCGAAATCCAACCGCACCTAGTCCGGATCCCTGGCATGTGCACATTGGACATGCTCAGCAAGGTCCTGGACCATGACTCCAGGACTTTTCCCATGTACATCCAGTTTTGTCACTGTTACACCACTGCCTGGCCCCAGGGAAGATTTTTTTTTAGGAATTATTATTATT